AAAAATTTAGTACTGACTTATCCCTTATTTGGTTAGTTAAATAAGTTATCCTAGGATTAAAAATAATACCGAGATTAACTTATACATATCAGAGAGTGGAATAGTAATCTCAGGATAAGTTATCCTAGTATAGCAGTAAAATCGACAATCCTGGAAATAATATAGCATATCAAATAATCAATAAAAAATAATCCCAAGATAAGTAATCTCATTCTAATCAACCACAGTATAACTAATCACTGAATAACTACTAATCTTCGAAACAAACGACCCCTAAGAGTAAAAACTCAACTTTAAATATTTAGTTGACTTTTTTTGTCCAAATGTTCAAATTTATTCTATATATTTTCTTTATTTATTCAATTGCTCTTTTCCTTTTATAATTTTTTGTATATTTCATTTTTTTCTCTCCATAGTTTTGTATTTTTTTTTATTTAAAGTGAAATAGAAGTTCCATAATGAATCTTTATATATATATATATGTGTGTGTGTATATNTATATATATATATATATATATATATATACTATATTAAAAGCACGAAAGCACTTAGCAAAATATCGTTCGCCTTTTTTATCCTTTAAAATATAGAGTTCACATTAGACAAAATAGTAATTTAAGTATTATATTAATATTTAGAAATAATTATTTAATTAATTCTCCTATAATTTAGGAATAGCTATTTAATTAATTTCCTATTATTAACAGTCTAGGAAAGTTAATAAATTTTTTCCTATTCGTTCTACTCCCTACGTTGGAGTAGTTAATACCTTATTAAGGTTTTGGAGACCTTTTTTGTCGTTAAAAAAATTCTGCCTAACCTAAATTTTCGCTCCTATGTTGGAGTATTAAATGTGTTTATTTTGTAGTTAGTACTTTTAGGTTTAGGAGATCTTTTTGGTTAAATTTTTTTGCCTTAAATCGCACACACAATTTTCTTTTTGGTTAGGAGTCTTTACTATTTGGTAAAATTCACAATACGCGCGTTGCGCGTGTATCTAATCTCAATATGTCAATATACTTACTACATTTATATTCGAGTATAAAAGTAAAATTTTTAAATTTTTGAAATTTATGTATATTGATCCTATATATAGCTACCTCAATAAAGGAAGAAATTGTACCTATAAAATTCCCCAATCATCATTCAATATGTTCAAATTAAACTTAGTTCAAATTCTTTATATTCAAATTATCAGTTTTAGCAAGAATACACAGCTTTTGAAGATCTAAGAGCTTTTCTGAAAAAATTAAAAAGCTATTTCAAGTTCATTTTAATAGACAGAAGAAAATATTTTTTCTTTCTTGCGAGCAAAATATATGTTGTTATATTTCTTTAATCAATAAAAATATATATTAACTATTATAAAAGCACATAGCCTTATAGCGAAATATTAATAAACCTTTTTACCCTTAAAAATAAAATGCAAATAGGATAACATTATTTTTCCAAATATTTATAATTTTGAAATCAATTATAATATTATGATAATTTTTTTTTGGTCAAAATAAAAAAAAAATTTATTCAACCAATTGTGTATATTTACAACTGCTAATCCTTTTAGACTCTAGGATTAGTTCTCTATAATCAATCTATCCACTCAGCATCTCATCTAGACATTTCATCTACTAATCTGCTGAATCTATACGGGAAACTGTTTAGACTTTCTAATAGTTTTTGCCATTTGTGATACCTCTGCCCTCTAATATGTAGTTGGAGGACAATTTCTCTTATCCTGTAGTCACTTCCTTTCTTTTCCTGCTGAAACCTCCGACTGTTTCGTTCTTGCCATACGTGGTATACAGTAACCATCTCATCACTTCTTGCCGTGCTCTGCTTGCTTTTGTTCTTTTTGTCATCCAGTTAAGTTCTTCATCCTATGTAGATATTTGTCTAGGTTCACCTCTCCACTGCAGAAGTTTAGCCCATATCTATCTTGAATAGTTGCATCCAAAGAACAAGTGTGAGAAAACTTCATCCTCTTTTGAGTTACATAAGACACATTCCTTTGGGACATGAACTCCCCATCTTTCCAGTCGATCAATGGTTTCCAGTCTTTGTCGAACTGCAAGACATAGTATGAACTGATGTCTTGGTAGTAGATGTGTTCCCATAGTAACATGCTTCCAGGCCACCTTCTAATATTGTAGGCACAGAGATAGGTATGCCTTCTTGATACTGAAACCTCCTTGTGTAATGCATTGATTCAGCTCCCCTGTAGAGTCCTTGCCCCTATACCAGTTCCTTGCATCAAAGATTTTTCTCAGAAGCCAGCATGCTTGTTTAGGTGTTTCCATATTGCTTAAGTCTCTGTTCTTTATGTAGAACCCATGAATCCACGATACCCAAAGAGTCTCCTTTTTTGTGATTACTGCCTAGAGAAGTTTACATATTGCTGCCTTGTTCCAAGTATGAAAATTGATAAGATTCAGCCCTCCAGCTGACTTGGGCATACACAATTGATCTCATGACACTAATGCCTTCCTCGATGCCTCACAACTTCCTGTCCAAAGAAAGGTTCTGCAAATACTTATTAGTAGTTGAGTTACCTTCTTTGGTAATAGAAATACTTGAGCCCAATAAGTTTGCACCTCAAACAGAACACTCTTGATCAGTTGTAATCTTCCACTATATGATAGCAGCTTAGTTGTCCAACATTTGATTCTCTCTCAACTACTGGCATACACTGCTGAATGGTAAGTTTCCTGGAAGATAGAGGAACACCTAGATACTTGAAAGGCAGTTCTCCTAGAGTAAACTCCATTTCATTCAAAATTTGCTCCTTTAGCTCCATTGAGACACCAGTGATATACAGGGAGCTTTTGTCCAGATTTGCTTTAAGCCCAGAGACCTCCAAGAAATGATTGAATGCTTGCAGCAGTAACTGAATGGACACTCTATCTGCTCGACAGCACATTATAAGATCATCCGCAAAACATATATGCACTAACTTCATTTTCCCACATCTTGGATGGTAGTTGAAGTTAGGATTATACTGTAGCTGCTTAAGGGTCCTGTTTAGATACTCCATAGCAAGCACAAAAAGGTATGGGGACATAGGGTCCCCCTGCCTTAATCCCTTTTTAGCCATGAACTTAGGGGTGATCCCTCCATTGATTAGGATTGAGTAGCTTACTGTGGTAACACACTCCATGATCCAATTCACAAACTTCACTGGCAAACCAAATTCCAGTAGGACATTCTTGAGAAATCCCTATTCCATTGAATCGCATGCCTTCCTTATATCAACTTTGATAAGGCATCTACGAGATAGACCTTTCTAAGTATACCCCTTAACTAATTCATGAGCCACTATAACATTATCCAGTATACTTCTCCGTGCTATGAAAGTTGATTGGGATGGACCAACTAGAGAGTCCACTACTGTCTTCAACCTGGCTGTGAGAATTTTGGCTATAAGCTTGTATATGGTGGTACAACAAGCTATAGGTCTATATTCTTTCACATATGTAGGATTATTGACCTTGGGTACTAGTGTTATAGTAGTGCAACTAATCTCTTTTAATAGCTTCCCATTGTCAAAGAACTGAAGAATGGCCTCTGTAACTTTTTCTCCTATTGTCCCCCAATATTCCTTAAAATATTCTCCAGTGAATCCATCAATTCTAGGAGATTTATCATTAGGAAGATCCCTCAATACTTGTAGTACTTCAACTTCTGTTACTGGCTGAATAAGTGCTTGTTGTTTCTCCCTATTGAGGCATGGCCCATCTTTGGCATAATAGTTGTTAAGGCTTGGCATCTCTTGGCTCTTGTTCCTAGTAGCTCTTGGAAGAAGTCTATGAACTCCTTTGTACCTGCACAGGCTCTGTTAGTTGCACTCCTTGCTCGTTCCATATAGATACAATACTGCTCCTCCCTTGCCTGGCTTTGAGTTGAGCATGAAAATATTTCGAATTGGAATCCCCATGACTAATCCAAACAGCTTTTGACTTTTGTCTGAGCACTCTTTCATGTATAATAGACCACTTCTCTAGATCATTCAGAACCTCTCTTTCTGCTGAAATCAGTTGTGTATTGTATAAATCATTCTCCAAATCTTGTTGTATCTCACTAAGCTTGGACTGAAGTCCCTCTAGTTTATCATCTAGAGATGACATTTCTTTGTTCATGGTCTTAGTTAGTTGCTCGATGTGTTTCAACTTCTTGCAAACTCTGTACATACTGTGTGACTGTGATCTCAACTTCCCAAGCTTTTTGAGTGGCCTCTTTGAATGCTTCCTGCTGTAATAATACATTCAGCAACCTAAAGGGCTGGGGCAGTCGCTGCCTTGGTACATTAGTAGTTATAAGGATAGGTGAGTGATCTGAGCACCCTGGATTTAGATAGCAAGCCTCCAGATTGCCATAGGTAATAAACCATTGATAATTGCCAAGAGCCCAATCAATTAGGCTATAAATTCTATCCTTAAGATCTTGCTTGTTGCTCCATGAATATTGACATCCCTTCCTTCTGATTTGACCAAGGCCAATCTCATCTATACATTTTTGAAAATCTTGTGTTTCTGCCTGTTGGACAGGAGCCCTATTAACTCTATCATGGACTGACAGAATTGTGTTGAAATCTCCAATTATTACCCATGGCTCTATCATATTGTTGCTAATTCTCTCCAATTGTTCCCAAATTTGTTTTCTACCTTCAATAGTGTTGTATCCATAAACATAAGTAACATGGCTTGCAAAACTTGAGTAGTTGTCTTTCACATAGCAATGGACTACTTGAGGATGTGACGATACAATGCTGACCATAACCTGTTGTGGCTTCCAACAAACCCAAATTCTACCATTAGGACTTGAGCTATAGTCTGCTTCTACTTGCCAGTCTACTCCCAGTTTTCTCTTTATTCTTTCAGCCTTATTGGCTTTCACTTTTGTCTCAAGACAACCCACTAGAGCCACTTTATTTTTGAGCAGAAAGGATTTAAACTCTTTTTGCTTGTAGGGCTTATTCAGCCCTCTAATATTCCATGATCCGAAAATCATGGAGGGTTCTTTTTGATTGCATTAAGAACCCTTCCCACATTGCTTGTGGTTTTCTTTGTATGAATCCTCAAGGCATTAAACTTATTCTGACTTAGCACTCTCTCCATTTCCATACTTGCCCTTATTTTATCTTGTACTTCTGGTTCCTTCTGTAACTGTTTCCCTCTATCATTATTGTTAAGTCTCTCCATTGGCCTGTCTTCAGACTGGTGCCATGTTGTGCTCGAATTGACTGCAGCATTTGAGCTTTCAGGTTGTTCAACTGTTGAGGCCCTAGCTATTAGGTTCAGTTCCTGTTCCTTCCCTTCTTCCTTGCTTGGATCATTTTTAGCTCGCCATTCCTTTTTTTGATTTTTCCTTTCTTTGTTCACTTGCTGTTGTTTCCAATTGACATTGTCATCAGGTTGTTTCCTGTAGCTGCCTGTAACATGTCTCATTTGAAGACAGTCTTGACAAAATAGGGGTTTCCATTCATATTCCACAACCTGCATACTACATTGTCCATTGGGCATCTCTAATGGAATCTCATCCGGTAATGGTTGTGATATGTCCATTTCAATTAACATCCTAGCATAAGCAATTCTGTCTTCCTGTGCTGTCAATTTATCAGTACAAATTGGTCTTCCTAGACAACTGGCTATTCTTCCCAGGTTTCCAGCAGTCCAAAATTGGATTGGCAAGTTTGGGAGCATCACCCACATAGTAATGTTTTGATCCGGTTCCTTACTCATCTGAAAATCTGGACACCATTGCTTGAGCACAAGAGGTCTGTGGTTAAAGGTATATGGCCCATTCTGTAGGATTGTAGTCTTATCTTCCTCACAGTCAAATTTGAATAAAAAATACCCATCGTTATGGAGATATACCTGAGGGGTATTAACTGTATTCCATACTCCATATACAAATTTGAGCATCTCCTTAAAAGTGGGGTTTCCTCCAATGACATACCCAATTAGGGCTAGACTCCATTTCTGGTTCTGCTCTTCAATTTCTTTTGGATTTAGTTTAACTACCTTCACACCATCCTTCATTACCGGTGGAAAGTAATCAAGTTTCAATCCCCCTTGCTACTGTCGATTTTCCTTAACCACTTCTGCCATAGTAGGCTTCACTTCAATAGATTTGGCCGAGAAAGTGAGCTTCCTTGCCGCATTTGAAGCTCCTACATCTGGATCTAGTGGAGTCTCTTCCTGCCTTGGTGGAATCGTCGTTTGCATTACTGTTGGTGCACTCCTCATCCCTGGCATCCATTGCACCAATTGAATCGGTTCTAGAGTTTGGGGGACACCAGATTCTGGTGTTATTTGCCTTGATGTTCCTTCGTTAGCTTTGGGTGTGGCCGGCGCCGGAGCAACCTGCCTCTTCTTCCTTGCCATTTTCTGGTCAGTGGCGCACGTTAGTAGTCCTCACGTAACATGCACTTTTTCAACCTAAAGTGCTCTACTTTTACTCATTATGATAAAATTATTAACTTAATTATCCATTTTTATTGATTACTACATAACAAATCATAATATACATGGTTGTTAAGACAAAAGCAATATTCATAAGACATTCTAATTTCAAATTACTAATAAATTTTTTTGTATACGTTAATTTAATTTGTTACTTAAATAAGTATTATTAGAAAAGATCATGAATAAATGAATAAAATTCTTTATATGTGTGTCAATTTCATGATCAGTATTTATCATTTTCAAGAACTCAAACTTTTACTTAATATTTTTTTTGTGACTAAAACCATGTTTTGAATGTTATTCATATATATATATTTTTTTTAAAATAATTCTCATCATATAGGGTATTAAAAGCACGAAAGCCCTTAGCGAAATGTTATTCGCCTTTTTTACTCTTCTAAAATTAGTTTCACATTAGACAAAATAGCATTTAATTATTTCTCTTATATTAGAACTTTAAATCAACTTAAAATTCCCCTACTAAATCTTCCCTTATATGTAGATTTACGAACTATATTAGGAATTTAAAATCAAATAGGACTTTACTTCTATAAATCTTAACAAACTAATATAAAGAATAGTTGTAAAAGTTTCTCAAAGATCGGAGGCGTAATATGTGTTCTCAAAGTTTGATGTTAACAATATTGTTTGGTGTTTCGCCCGAAGATGAGATCTAAGAGGAGGATTGTGTCACGATCCAAAATCCATTAAAGATCGTGATGGCGCCGGACACCTCGGTCAGGCAAGCCAACTTTAAGTAATTAATTAAACTCTCATTTTAATATTTTTGAAACCACCAATTTCCTTTAATTTAACTAGTAAAAAGTAATCTTTTACAGAATAAATAAAATTGCTTACAATTTTCAATACTGAATATTCCATAACCACCCCAGAACCCGGTGTCACAAGTGCATGACCAATCTCTAGAAAATCAAATGAAGTACAATAACTGTCCGGAATATAAATTTGGACAGAAAGTAAATACAATACTCTGAAAGAGACTCTACTGGCTGCGGGTCGTCTCGAGAGATGCAGCTCACCTAAGTCTCCGTATCAACCATGCTGCTACGCCCACTAGGCCACTAGAGATACATGTGCCTGTGCAACAAAAATGCACAGCAAGTGTAGTATGAGTACGAAAATAACGCGTACCTAATAAGAATCCAGTCTAACCTCGAAGAAGTAGTGACGAGGGGTCGACTTCGACACTTACTAGTGGTCCAATAATATCGGGTACAGTAAAAGGGGGGAATAAACATGAAATAGAGTAAATATATGAAATAAACAAGTATAAATACGTGATACAATTCCCCTCTTTATAATTTTACTCAAGCTCTCAACTAGCAAATTCCCTCCGTAACCGGAGCATATATATAGATATAGTGGATTTCATTAAGGAAGTTGTCATAATTCAAATCATGGAAAAATCCCTCAGATTCACTGGCTTCTAGCCAAATGTCACGCACGATTCCATGAGAATAATATATACTTCCTCCGTTTCATATAAGATGAGGTAGTTTGACTCGGCACGGAGTTTAAGAAAAAAGAAGAAGACTTTTGAAACTTGTGGTCTTAAAAGCTTAAGGGGTAAAAAGTTTGTGGGGCCATGATATTTGTATGGCTATAAAAGCTTCTCATTAAGGTAAATGGGTAAAATGAAAGAGTTTAAAGTTGAATTATTTCCAAATTTAGAAATGTGTCATTTATTTTGGAACAGACTAAAAAGAAAAGTACCTCATCTAATATGAAACGAAGGGAGTATATATATAGGAAATGTCTAGGCGTACGATCCGATCCAACATAAAAGTAAACTGTGCACTGCCATAGGGTCGAATGGCGCGAACCATAGATGCATCTATTAACCTGTCGAGGTGATCGGCCCTCTCCCATGAGAGTAGTGGAAGGAAATACCCCGCTCGCGAATCATACGTGCGACACGGTCAAGTATAGATTTAAGAATTTTCCTGCTCGCGAATCATACATGCAACGCGGTCAAATATAAATTTAAGAAATTTTCCCGCTCGCGATCATACATGCGACGCGGTTACACATAGATTTTCTTAAGTTAATATAAGGTCCCTCAATTCTTTTCGAAAATACTCAGTTTAATGGACACACTTAAATTCTTAAATTCCTCAATTAAAATACTTTTCAACACAATTATTACGCACCCTCAATCTTATTTCTTCTCAGAGCAAGCAATAACATAAATCTACAACAATATCAACAAGGCATGATGTAGCCTAAGACTACCCGGACATAGGCATAATAGTAGCTACGTACGGACTCTCGTCACATCGTGCGTACGTAGCCCCCACAAATAGGAGCACATATTTAATTATTTCACCCATGGGGTTAATTCTCTCTTACAAGGTTGGAAAGGAGACTCACCTCGCTCTGAAGTTCCATAATCGGCTCCTGAGCCCTTCAAACAACTCGAATCGATGCACAACGCTCCAAAACTAGCAATAGTTATGCAAACCCATTAATATACGCTCAATTACTCATTATAATCCAATTTATAATAATTTTTAACCCCGATCGAAAAGTCAATAAAAATTACCCCCGCGCTCACGTATCTGGATTTCAAATTTTTTCAGAGATAAAGTTTACCCATAACCTCACGAACTCAAATATATAATTTACTCTCAATTTCATGCCCAAAATCGTGGTCAAAATCCAAGAATACCAATTTTCTAGGTTTTTCCTCAAACCCAAAATTTTCTACTAATTTTCACGTTAAAACCTATACATAATCAACGTATTTAACTCAAAACTAGTATAAACCACTTACCTCAGCTTGGTGGTGAAAATGGCACTCCCAAGTTGCTCTAAAACCGGCTCCCATGGAGCAAATGGGGTTGAAATGAGCCAAACCCTCGTTTTTAAAAGAACACACTGCCCAGCCCGATCTTCACACCTGCGGTCACTTGATCACTTCTGCGGTTCCGCAGGTGCGGTCCCAACTACCGCTTCTGCGGTCATTCACCAGGCCCCTTAACTCCGCATCTACGGCTCCACGAACGTAGGTGCGGTCCCGTTTCTGCGGACTTTGACCGCATATGCTGTCAACTCCTTCCTCAGCAAAAATCCGCTTCTGTGAGTCACTTCCCGCTCCTGCGGTGCTCTTCACGCAGGTGCGGTTACACCCGAAGCCCAGCTGCTTCAGCCCTTCCTCAAATTCCATTTTCAATCCGTTAACCACCCGGAATCTACCCGGGGCCCCCGGGACCCCGTTCAATCACAGCAACCTGTCCCAAAACATAATGCGGACCTGCTCGAGGCCTCAAATCACATCAAACAACGTCCAAATCACGAATCACGCCCCAATTCGAGCTTTATGAACTTTAGAACTTCAAGCTTCTACATTCGATGCCGAAACCTCTCAAATCACGTCCGATTGACCTCAAATTTTGCACACAAGTCATATTCGATATTATGGACCTACTCCAACTTCCGGAATCGGAATCCGATCCCGATATCAAAAAGTCCACTTCCGGTCGAACTTCTTAAAAACCTACAAATTTCTAACTTCAGCCAAATGACTCCAAAATGACCTACGGACCTCCAAATCCACTTCCGATCTCGCTCCCAATACCAGTCACCATACGAAGCTATTCTCAGACTTGAAATCCCAAACGGACATTGTTAACACTGAAATACACTTCATCACAAATTTATGAAATTCACCCAAAAATGCTAACTTCCACAATAGGCGCAGAAACGCTCCCGGATCATCCAAAACCCGATCCGGACACAAGCCCAAGTCCAAAATCATCATACGAACCTCTGGAACCTTCGAATCCCGATTCCGAGGTCGTTTACTCAAAAATCCAATCTTAGTCAATTCTTCCAACTTCAAGCTTTTGAAATGATAATTTTCTTTCCAAATCCATTCCGAACTTCCTAAATTTTGATTCCGACCATACATACAAGTCATAATACCTTAAGTGAAGCTGCTCATGGCCTCAAACTGCCGAACGACGCGCTAGAGCTCAAAACGACATGTCGGGTCGTTATAGATTGGTAGTTATAGTTTAGCAATAAGCACTCTGAATAAATCTTATGATGAATAGATCTATTTTAGTATTTAGTAGGATTTCGCGAAGGATTTTATGTTGAGTACTCTATCCCGTGGTGTTCTAGGTATGATTTTGATGGACATCAGTCAAAGATATAAAGAAGGTTATGATAATATATAATATAAACATACTATACACCTCAATATAATTTTTATTTTATTTTATTCCTTTTGTATTATATATTGTTTATAATTAACATAGGTTGAGGACATGGTAGCTAATATACGTGTAATTGATTATGTTCTTATTTTCCCAAAGATTTGGTTAATGTATGCCATAATTTCTCTTGCGCCGTCTTCCTGGTTTTTCACTATCTTGCTACATCAAGGTCTTGGCTATCAATATATTACAGAGGTGAAGGCAAAGAAAGGTTAGAACTTTTCTGGATTTCATAATCTTTAGAGATATCTTTCTAAAGTTTGTCACTACTTTTTTGTTTCAAACGTGTATGTTTTCAGATCAATTTTTTTTGGGTGAGATATTTTTGAATTA